CCCCGCCCCGCGACCCTGCCAGCCCCGCCCCGCTGCCATGACAGTCCCGCCCCGCTGCCATGCCAGCCTCGCCAGCCCGGGCCAGGCTTGGCCCCCTCAAGCCCCGCCCCGCCCCGAGACTCAGGCCCCGCCCCTCCGCCTTGGGCAGCTTCCCTCCCCCATTTCTTGACCTGGCTCTTCCCAGCCAGACTTGCCGAAGGTCGCTTCCAGATCCTGCCCCTCTTTCTCCATCTTAAGTAGAGAAGAAAAAACAACCCAAGAAGGGTTGTTTTAAGGCAGAGAATCCGCTTGTAAAACTTAGCACAGTGTCTGGAACCTAACACAAGGGCCTGATGAATGTTACCCGTGATTTGAGGGCAGACTGTTTTCCAGTACATGGACATTAAAATCGCCTTTTCTCAAGTGAGTGGTGACTTGAGATATTAAAGAGGAAGAAGACCTGAGGAGCCAACTAGTCCCTTTTAAAGAGGAGGAAATTGAGGCCAGGGAAGGGCAGGGACACTTTGCGAGGACGCATTCCTGGTTAGAGACGAACTTGTGCACCGTGAGTTGTCGGGGTTGGCCCTCTCCACGATCTCTCTCTTTCATCTAGAACTTAACACAGTTCACTGCCTCCTTTTAATTGGCTACATAAATTCTGTCTAAAAATAGCCATAAATTGCAGTTGTCTATCCTTTGAGTCCTCACTCTGGGGAACCACAAGTTTTAAGAATAGGTTGAATTCCCTGTTGCTGGACAGAGGCTTCAGTGGGCCGGATAGTCGCAGGATTTGGTAAGGGAGCTCCCTCAAAGCCCAGTTTCTACTGTCTCTGGTTGAAAAAGATTTTTAAAGGAAGATATTGCATATATTTTAATGACTACAGAAATAGATTCATGGCATATCCCAGAGTCTGGAGGAAGAAGTCTTTTTGTTGTTTTTTGTTTTGTTTATTAACTTTGTTTTGAGTCTTTGGACTGCAAGGTCTGTTTTTTTTAATTTCCAATGAGACATAGCCACGTGTATGTTGCGTTCATATGAGTAATAAAATAACACAAAACTCCAAAAAGAAGAAAAGCTGGGTATTTCTATGCTTAGTTAGAGTTTTATATAAAGTATCAGTTTTGTGAATGTTTGTTGTGGCAACCAAAAAAAGAGACGTTTTAAAGTAGAACCAGGGGATGAGATTAATAAAATTCCAGAACATCAGAAATGATGGCTGGCTCATTCAAGAACTATTTTTTAAGCTAAAAATGACTTATCTGATTCTCCCCCCCCCCCACTTCTTATTTATTTTTTTGTTTCTTTCTAATTCTTTTTTGCATAGCTTTTGGCCAACACAGTCTGAACCAAATTAGTCACATAACTGAGAGGGAAACATTTTATTTTAAATGAAGAATATCAAAGGCTCCAATTTCTGAAATATACAGATGAGTTTGAACGAGTTATATAAAGAGGAGAGGAAGAGCATTTTACTCAGTGTGACCAGAAGGCATGGATTTTCTCTTTCCTCACAGCAGCCTCACGAGGTTATAATGTTCACAGCTTCTCTTCAAAACCCTTTATGGTTCTTGTAACAATCACTTCAAAGTCAGAGGAGTACCATCTGTCTTCAGTATTTTGAGATCTCTTATAGGGCAGGAAAAAGTTAAGAATTTTATTAATAAACCTGAATGTTCTCTTAATTGTTTCAACTGAAGATGTCACTGAAGATGTCACTCCACTTTGGTGGAGATGTTGTGTGACTTATTTTTTCCTCAATGATGTTTACATTTTCAAACTCTGTTTATGGGTAGGGAGAAAATAGTGACAGGCACATACATTCTACTGGCTCCTGAAGGCTGGAGATGGATGCTGGAGACAGGCAGTGCTGCCTGCTGCAGCGGGACGTGGGTAAATGTTGCTGTGCCATTCTTATTTGCAGGTCTCTGTTTCAGTGATTACAGACAAGTACCTGAGCTGAACACCGGGATAGAGATGGTGGGTTCAGACTGTCAGAGTGAGGCAAGGAGGCTTGCATGTATGATCTTGTAGAAAAGGGGCTGTGCTGCTGGTGTGCAGATATCAAGCCCACCATAGGTTTCATGTCACCAGCCTACCTTAGGTCCATGTCATTAGCTGTGGGTTTTCTCTGTGGCTGCCGTCTTCCATGAATGCTCGTCTTCCCCATAGGCCAAGCAGAAAGTGGGTCCCAGCCCTTCATCAGATCCCCTATGAGTGCAGAGCTCTCAGCTGGACGGAGCTGGCTGGCTCACAGGCTCTCTTACCCCGCCCCCTCCCCAGACACAGACTCGGATCTCCCTGAACCACAGGGCCTGCCACCACGGCAAGGCCAATTGAGTAGTAGCTTATTTGGCAGGTGGTTGGGGTCTTCTCAGACAGGTGGCTGTCTCTCAGGAACCCATGGCAGGGTGGGTGCTCCCACACCACCTTCTCCAAAACCTGGGGTCTGTCAGAGGTTCAGCTGCCAAGATGTGTCTCCGTTTTCCAGCTGGCAGAGCCTGAGTTGAAGTAAAATAAAATCACCCTTTCCTCTTTAGGAAGAGGTTACATTTTGTAAAACTCAGATCCTAAGTTAGAAACCTTAAAAATCCCTCTCTTTGCCCCTCTTTCTCTGTGCCCTTCTGAGAAGTAGAGAATCTAATTTCTTTGGCAAATGCTGAAAAAAGACTGTATTCACATGACTCCCTTCCCTCTAGTTGCCAGACTAGCCTTTTTCCAGCCAGGGGTATAAAGCTTTCTACAAAGCTGTTTCAAAGGCAGCCCCACTACAGGACAGTAACTGGCATTCCCAAAATATCAGCATTGACATCTGGGCATCTGTTCTCATTGCCACATACCACTTCTCTAATGCCACCACTGCCATTGTCTCAGAATGATTTGGCTCCAGTTCTGGGGCAATTTCGTACCGATATGTGCTACCCTATGATTCCCAGAAATCCTAGGTGTACCAAATATCCCTTTATTTTCTCTCTCCAAACCTAACTCTCTAATTCCTGCTTCCAAGTGTCCCTCTGGATTGGCTGGAGGAGTCTTTGTGTATATGCCAGGTGCCTGCCCTTCCCCGACCAGGTTGTTCCATGATTCCATCAATGTGGGGGCCCTCAGGTTATTGGTCATGTGTCCCCACAGGGAGGTGTCTGCATCCTCAACCACCTGTCCTTTTGAGGTCCCCATACAAAACAACACACCTGTCCTCCCTGAGGGCTTCTGCCCCCGGACACTGCCAACCACACTGCTATCCTGAAGCTCCATGGCCCTTGGACCTTGCTGCTCCTACAGACTCCAAGGGAAAATTTTTTTCTAGCCTGGGGGATTCCTTCTTTCTTCCTCTTCTTTTTCCAAACCAGTTAGCTTCTTCCTGCAGCTCCCTCCCCAGTTTCCTCCTGTCCTCAAAGCAGCTAAATTCTGTCAAGAGCACAAGGCTCTTGTCATACAGATAGTTTCTGAATTCTAACCAGACACCTACTTCCCCAGAGGCAGAGAAACTCAGAATCAGCTGGCCACCATTTATGTGGGGAGAAGAGAAAGGGAAAAGGAGGGAAAAGATGAATTAATTTTATGAAAATATTATGTAGTCATAATGTCACTACATTCAAATCACAGATACTTACTATGTCCTGCCTTGTCCCAGGAGCTATGCCAGGCACCAGGAATACAGAAATGAATAACACATATCTGGGTCCTCCAAGGATCATAGTCTAGTGGGAGAGATAGACACATCAGCTGAGATTACAGGGTGGTGTAAAAAGTGGGGAGACAGACACAGGAGTAACATGAAGGAGGGGCTCTTAATTGAGATTACTGGGAGACAGGGAGAACTTACTAGAATGTACTGCAGGGATTTTTTCCCCCTCTTTTGCTTATTGTTACAGGCCCACTTCCTAGGAACAGTGCCTGCATACATAGGAGGCTCTCAACAAATGCTTGCTGAGTAAGGGGATGAGTAAGTGAGGAGGTGGTGGGGGTCATCACAAATGGGAGCAGGAGGTTCTGGGAGAGATTCGGGAAAATATTACTATATTTGTCAAGGTTTCAGCAGAAAAGATGTAGTACAGGCATTTCTGGTAATTTGAGGAAAGTTTAATAAGGCAGGTATTTACAAAGGTGTGCACAGCGTGTGGGGCATCTGCAAGGGAGAGTGTAGTCCCCCAGGGATGGTAACAGTGGAGCGTGACCACCCCAGGCCAAAAGGAGAAGGGGAGAGAGCAATTCCTGGAACCCGAGAGACTATATGGAGAGGGTCACCTTGAGAGGAGCTGTGACTTTCAATTAAGGGACATCACAGCCCAAGGAGACTGTGCAGGGAGGGAGGCAGGAGATGAAATAACCTAAACACTCTCTTTTCTCCTTTAGTCTCCCAGGGGCTCCTCATTGGTGAACCCCTTTGGAAACTAAAGGACAAGGGGGTCTGTTGTGGAAGTCCACATAGGACAGCCTCCTAGGCATGGACTGGGTGGAGATGGCAGAAGGTAGATTGGGAAAGGCACACTGAGGCCATCCAAATGGTCACCTTGAGGGAATAAACACTCACCCAGAGTGGATGGACCAGGTCTTGATGGGTCCTGGAAGTCACTGAACCCTTCGCTGGAAACATCATGTTACTGAAGGACTGAACAGATGTTCTTGTTTTACAAAAATCACTGCTCAGCATCCGCTCACTAACTTTTCTCTTTCTTCTCTGTACTTAGGCCAATAATCTCCCAAAAGCCATTGCAGCTGCTCACACCTTTCTGCTGAAGCATCCCGATGACGAAATGATGAAGAGAAACATGGCATATTATAAGAGCTTGCCTGGTGCTGAGGACTACATAAAAGACTTGGAAACCAAGTCATATGAGGTATATTCAGACTTTTACACAGCGGTTAATACAAAGCGAACTGCTAAGAAAGTGTATCTCAGTGAACAGCTATTGACATCTAAGAACCACTATTGATTTTTGGTGACATTTGATGAATGTTATGACAGTAGAAATGATTGACTTTTTAGCACAAAGTTGATCCATTTAAGACTTTGCCTTCCGTGATGATTTTAAAGCCACCTTTCCTTTAAATGCTACATTTTATAAATATGGTCATTTGATAATTCAGTTTTAAGATGGCGGAGTTAAAGACATATTTTGGAAATCATCCAAAAATGATCAGGAACACAAGAAATAGAAACATAAATCTCCATTTCTGAAGAAATTTTAGGAGACATATTTTTATATGCACACACACACAACATATATATTAAGGTGGAAAGCAGAGTTAGGGAGACTTATTTGACAGAGCAGAGGATATTTAAATCTACACATCTTTAGTTCAGTTGGTCAGAGCACAGTGTTGATAACAGCAAGGTCAAGGGTTTGGATCCCCAAACCAGCCAGCCACCAAAAAATCCCCAAAGACGCTATACATCTGCAAACAGTGCAAACAGGCGTTCTGATGAGAGTTAACCATAACAACAACAATAAGAAGAATCTAACCCTTATGGGCACTTACTATTGTCAGGATCCATCGAGCTCAGGCATTGGGGGCTTGGGTACCAAGGGTAGGGCAGGTTTGAAAATAGGGGGGTATTGAAAGTATCCACAAAGAGCTGAAGATGCCAAGGCCTGACTACAGGTTTCCTGCAGTGTGATCAGACTCCAACCTCACTTTTTCACTTGGTGGGGACCCTCAAGTATAGTGTGGGGAAGGCTCTTTTCTGGGGCCCCTTCAGTTTTCCAGGAAGACTTCTCCAGCCTTCTGTAGAGCTGGTGCGGTGTCCATGCTTGTCTGCTGGTGTCTGAGAGCCAGTGTGGGGAAAGGGACAGGGGTCTTCCAGCTTAGTCAGAAGACTTCACCTGCTTCCTGGTCAGCCCCATGCCTCCACCTCAGCCTCTGCCATGCCCAGTCCCTGACTCCTCAGCATTTAGGGGTAAAGTCTCCCGAATAAACCACCAGTTTCTAGTGAAGAGTGGCTTTGGGAGGTATGGTCTCTTGGTGGCCAGGAGGGAACCTAGGGCTGCAGATGCCCTGGTCAGACTTTCAGCTCTGCTTTCAGTTCTGTGCCTTTCCCCAGCCTTCTGTGGTCCCTAGTGCCTGCAAGTGCCAACAGGGCATGTAGCTCGCTTCCCCTCCAGACCCTCCTCTGTTATCATTTGGCTTTCTGTCATTTCCAAAGTTGTTGAGATTTTGTCTGCTGCTTGCTCCTTTCCTGTTCATCCATAAAAAGGATATATACTTTTTAACTTTCATCACTGTCATTTTCATTGGGTTTGGCGATGTGAACTGAAATCAAGGCTGTTGAGGCAGAAATAATTTTGTAAAGGTTTATTAAAAGCCAAGCTTGAGGATCAACCCAGGAAACACAAGCCAATAGAGGGGGGAAGGGTTCCAAAGTCTGTACAGACTGAAAGATTCATAGGTATGTTTGGAAAGGGGAGGGGGACTCCTCATACTGGGGTTGTCCCATTTTCATTGATGGGTAAAATACGAAGTTACAATTATTGGCTACAGGTTACAACATATAGACTAAAAATGTCTATGTAGGGCTGGCCAATTAGCTGAGCTGGTTACAGCGTGGTTCTGATAACACCAAGGTCCAGTGATCCATCCCCATACTGATACCTGTACTCACCAGCTGCCAAAAAAAACCCCAAACAAACCGACAGCAACAAAACATTTATGTGCAGAACAGACAGGAAACTTCATGCCTCAGCTACTCTCGGAAACAGCTCATTGTTTCATTTGAAGTCAATAGATTATACCTTTATTGGTACATCAACACTTTCAGGAACTTACACAGATTCCTTACTTAGGAGCAGGATGCTGATATCAGATCATAAGACCTTTCCCCAAGGCAATTTTTAGACAGCCTGCTTGAAATCATATCATCATTCACCAGGGAGCAGAGCTGAGTGCATGTGTTCAGTGCCTTGTGCTTAACTTCCCTCTTTGCAGCCCTGCTGGGTGTGGCTGGGCTGCCCTCCTGTGCACCCATAGGGCTCCCTCTGTCTGCTTAGCTTCCTGCTTGCTGCTGCTGCCCTGCCCTTTCTGCAAAGCTGGCTGCTGGAATTCCTGCTCGTTTACCCAGGCTCCAGGAAAGTCACCTTCAGTCCTCTGCCTGTCTTATTTCCAGGGGATGCTGCCTGCCTTGGAGCTTTAGGGAGATCCACCCTTAAGGCTGAGGCCTTAAGCTTGGTGAAAATTTCATATCCAAGGGATGGCCCTCAGATATCCCCATTCAAGGAGCAGCTGAAAAGGAACTCCAAATGGAGAGTCCCATGCTTATTTCCAGGCCTGTCCTGGCCGCTCCAAATTAGCAGGTTTTTGCATGTATCCAGGATCTTTACATATTTCTTGGGGAGCAAACTGCTTCCTCAGTCTTAGTTATATCTCTTTTATCTGGTCCAATCAACAATTAGCAGAAAGTCCTTGAAGTTTCTACTCTCTGGCACATGATCACCCTTCCCAGTAACTAGTGTTGATGCATGGTACTCCTATTTTATATTTCATTGTTGGAGGGAATGGGTTATCAGAACCTGCCCTCAAACTTATATCTTATCCTTAATTCAGTTTTTAAAATCAGCTTTATTTTGAGGTATAATTTATATTTAATATCTTTACCAACTTTAAGTATACAATTCGATGAGTTTTGACAAATATATGCAGTTGCCTCTATCATCATGATATGGGATATTTTCATCTACACAGATAGTCCCCTCTTGCCACTTTGCAGTTAAGCCTTTTCCCCAACCCCTGACTCCTGGCAGCCGCTGATCTGATTTCTGTCACTATAGTTTTCCCTTTTTCCTTGATTCAAATTTGATTTTATTATCAACTGCTTGCTACTTTTTGAACTAAACTACATAAGAAGTGTACCCATTGTAAACAGGGTAGAAAAGTGTAGATATAAAGTCAGTCACTGGTTGGCTTCATATTTAATGAAGGATCAGAGTGGTTTCTTCAAAACTAACAAGAGCAGAGCTTGGTGATGGTCTCGATTGCTTTTGAGAGGACATACCTGTCTCCGTCTGTGCCCAGTGCAACTTCATTGGCTCCTTGGTTTTCAGAGTCTGTTCATCCGAGCTGTGAGGGCATACAATGGCGAGAACTGGAGAACATCCATCACGGACATGGAACTAGCCCTTCCTGACTTCTTCAAAGCCTTTTATGAGTGTCTCGCAGCCTGTGAGGGTTCCAGGGAGATCAAGGACTTCAAAGATTTCTACCTTTCCATAGCAGGTTGGTGGTGGGTTGCATCCTAGAGGTAAATGTGATACTACCCCTGTGGAATCTGTTTTCCTTAGATTCCTGCTCTCTGTTTGCATGCCTTCTAGATGCCTTGAGTGGCCTCTGAGGAACTTTTAAGCTTAAGTATGTACATATATATGCACTGTTTTGAAGGCAGAACTTAATTATTAATTGGGATAGTCCACATCAACATAAGCCTTTGACTTGGCAGGGGCTTCAGGGTAAAACAGCTGCAGCTATGCAGAGGAGGTCTCCCTTATCAGATCTGCTTGATTACAGATTCCCCTGGGCACGTGAAGCAATTCAGTGACTCACATTAATAAGATGACTTTCATTATGGGAATTTTTCAAGACACACAAAGGTCGAATGAAGAGTATAATGAACCTTTAAGTAGTTGTCACTTGGGTAATTTTTGAAATTTTCTTTTGTGATTATAAAACCATGTATGCTCTTGATAGGAAGATGAGAAAACACAAGATAGAGGAATGAAGAAAGAAAGAAAACCTAAAACACCACCCATAGCTAGCCCAGATTTCCCAAGAGCATCTAGATATTTCCCTAGTGCCTTTAGTGGACAGCATCATTCCAGAAAACTGCCAAAGGAAGATTTGCCAAAGTGGTTTGAGGATACTGATCCTGCACCTCTCAGGAAGGGTTAAACAAGCTTGGACTGTAGATTGGATAAGAATTTTATATCTATATACAATACTTGTAAAAGAAATCTGGGAATGAGCTAAGTGCTGTATCTCTCTCTTAGAGAGTCACTGTGTACTTTAATGGTGACGGCTCTTAGAAATCCTGCAATATGGAAGCTCTTGTAAAGTTATCAAATCCAGCTGTGGCAGCTGTGCCAAATTGGCAGCCCCAGCAGCATCCTAGCCAGACAGTAGTGTCGAACCAGTGGATTGTGAAATCCCCTGCCACAATGACTAAACATCAATGGAAAGATACCAGAAATGTGAAAAATCAAGAAAGTACACCACCAAAAGGTAATAACTCTCAATCTCTAGATCCTATAGAACAAGAAGCCCTTGAAATGTCTGACAAGGAATTTCGAGTGATAATTCTAAGGAAACTAAATGAGATACAAGAAAACAAAGCTAGACAACACGATGAAATGAGGAAAAGTATACAGGACCTGAAAGAAGAAATGTACAGGGAAATCAATGCCCTGAAAAAGAATGTAGCAGAGCTTGCCGAGCTGAAGAATTCATTCAACGAAATAAAAAACACAACAGAGGGCCGGCCCGGTGGCGCACTGGATAGTGCGCCGCTTGGGAGGCGCGGCGGCGCTCCCGCCCGAGGGTTCGGATCCCACATACGGACCGGTTCCCGCTCACTGGCTGAGCGAGGCGCGGGAGCAACACCGAGGGTTGCGATTCCGTTGCCGGTCCCCGGTCTGGTACGGGGGCAACACTGAGGGTTGCGATCTGTTGCCGGACATGGAAAAAGACAAAAGACAAAAAAAAAAAAAAAAACACAACAGAGAGTTCAACTAGCAGGAGCAGAAGAGAGAACTTCTGACCTTGAAGATGGGCTGTTTGCAATAACACAGGCAGACAAAAAAAAAAAAGAAAAGAAAAAAGAATTAAAAACATTGAAGAAAATATAAGAGAGATATCAGACAACCTTAAGCACTCAAATATCCAAATCATGGGTATGCCATAAGGGGAGGAAAAGGAGATTGCATTGAAAACATTCAACAAAATAGTGGCAGAAAACTTCCCCGGTATAGGAAAAGACACAGATCTTCAGATTCAGGAAGCTCAAAGATCCCCAGCTGTATTCAACCCAAAAAGATCTTCTCCAAGATATGTTATAGTGAAATTGGCAAAACTCAAAGACAAAGAGAGAATCTTAAAAGCTGCAAGAGAGAAGTGTCAAATCACCTATAAGGGAGCCCCAATCAGACTAACATCAGACTTTTCATCACAAACTCCAAAAACCATAAAGGAATGGGATGGTATATTCAAAAAACTAAAAGACAGAGATTGCCAGCCAAGAATACTCTACCCCGCAAGGCTATCCTTCCAAAATGAAGGGCAAATAGTATATTTCTCAGACAAACAAAAACTGTGGGAGTTCACTACCACACAACCACCCTTACAAGAAATTCTCAAGGGAGTACTGTGTTTAGTACCTGAAAAATAACTACCACTGCCATAAAAACTCAAGAAAAATCAAAACCCACCAGTAAAATAAAAATGTCAACAATGAAGAGAAAAAGAAAAAGAAAAAAAGTTTATCTACAATCCAAGAAACCAACAAATACAGAAGACAAACAGTAAATCAGAAAAAAAGGAACAAAAGACTCTTAAGACATCCAAACAAAAATCAATAAAATGCTAGGAGTAAATCAACACTTTTCAATAACAATTCTTAATGTAAAAGGATTAAATTCCCCAATCAAAAGACACAGACTGGCTGACTGGATTAAAAAGGAGGACCCAACTATATACTGCCTTCAAGAGACCCACCTCACCTATAAAGACTCACATTGACTAAGAGTGAAAGGATGGAAAAAGATTTACCATGCAAACAGAAATGAAAAACGAGCTGCAGTAGCTATTCTTATATCTGACAAAATAGAATTTAAACTAAAAACCATAAAAAGAGATAATGAGGGGAGAGCAAGATGGCGACGGGTCTGGAGTGAGCGTGTCAGAGGACAGAGAGAGCCTGTGAAGTGTGCGCTGTGCTGCCAG